TTGCATCCTTGAACCTGGCTAGTTCTTGGCACTAGACATGCTAATGCTCTGGCAGAAAGGGATTGCTAAACAAACGTGACCCAGTCCCTGTGTCCAGCTACTGAGCATTCTTAATTCATCTCCAAATGTCATTTGGGAGAAACAAAGAACAAATTAATTGCACTTTTGTGAGTTTAAGCAGCAGCAGCAAGAAGAAGGAGGTGAGGGAAATAGCGCAGAAACTGAACTGAAAATGACTGAGGGTGGGAAAACTATAAAACACATTTGGGGTAAACAATCTACACACATTAAATTTGATTGAGGGCTGGGGAAAAAAGAAGTGGGTTCCTGTCTGAAGGTCGCAGAATGCTCTGGCCCCTCTTGCAGTTAATAATTACAAGATATGCTTGTACAATCATTCGCATAACTGTGAGAGTGTGGCTTGCAGGACTTTGGCTTAGGACAATCTCCCTAGGTTAGGTTATCTTTGGAGATATGGTGTCAAGGATTTTATTTTAATCTTGCAGGGGCTCACGAAGCTGCCTAGAGTGACGCTTGGGAAAATGGAAGAGATGTTTTTTAGGTATCAGGATGTGAACAGTTTTTAATCACCCTTCAGGCCTCCTGCAAGTAAGGAAGAGGAAGAATGTGAAAAGAACAGCTAGGGCTCATAACCTGGAATTAAGAAATGAAGCACAAGCTGAGGTCTATGAAGGAGGAGTTTTACCTGTAGAACTGTGCTCCTGCTTTGAAAGTGTGTTAAAAAGTCATCAGGATTTATAGATATACATGATCAAAATCTAAGTGCAGTTGGCCCTTTTTATCCACAAGTTCTACCTCCACAGATTCAACCAACCACAGATCAAAAATATCAGGGAAAAAAAGTTACATCTGTACTAAACTTGTGAACATTTTCAACCTGTTATTATTCCCTTAAAAATACCATAATGACTGTGTTCATAGCATTTACATGGTGTTAGGTACTAGAAGCAATCTAGAGATAGATTCCAAATACACAGAGGATGCATGTAAATTATATGAAAATACTATGCTGTTTTATAAGTAGACTTATGCATCCCCAGATTTGGTTATCTATAGGAGATCCTGGAACCAGAGATGACTATACTAGCATTTAGTGTATATTTGTTAAAAGAAGAGGCCTGGTTTAGAATTCTCCAATTCTAGTGTAAGAATAGTCTGAGAAGCTAATTGAAATGTGGATTCCAAGGCCTAATCATAAGATTTCAATTCAGTATGTTGGAACTGGGGTCTAGGAATATGCATTGTTGTCAAGTAGCTCGTATGATTTGGGACCAGTGGCTCTTGAATCGTATTGGTTGCTTTGTAAAATCTAACTTATAAAAATGAACCTTAGTGAAAAGTTAGCATGCAATCACATTAGAAACTTGAGTGACAAAATGCAAACCAAATGGAGTATTCTTTTGCTACCTTTTGTTTGTTGTTTTTATGTTGTTTTGTTATATTTTTGAATGCACCTGAGAATTCTTTGGCCTATTTACTGAAGGACCATAACATAACCTGGAATTACAGAGCTACCACAAGCAACAATGTACAAATTCTAGGTCTGACTTCTCCAGCAATTTGCCATTACTTAGAGCAAATGTCTGAGGAAGCTGTACCTTCCTCATAGAGGGAAAGGGACAGACAAAGAAGGATGTTTTCTACAAAATGATCCTCTCCATTTGAAGCTTCCATTCAAAATTTCATTTCAAGATATGAAGTCAAACACCATTTTTTTTTCCAGAGGATCAACTTTCTGGAGCCCCAGAGTTCCACAAACTTCATTAGCTGTGCAGTAATTTTAAAATATTTTTCACCAAGACCAATAGCAAAAATTCATTTCCCATCACAATTCAATACACTACACACATAGACACACACACACACACACACACACATAAATACACATGCACCACATGTATATCATGTGTGTTTATGTGCACATGTATGGAAAATGGAAACAATCATTTTATAAAACATTACTTACCTCTGCCATGTGAAAAAGCATTCTGGTTTTCTATGCTTGGCCCTTTTTCTTTCCTTTCTCTACTTCTTTCCCTCTCTCTCTCCATTTCCTTGGTGATAATCATGACACTGTAAATAGTTTTGCCTTGTTGTTCAAAAAGTGCTGAGATAGGTGTAGAATTCCAACAGTTCTGAGGAGGAAAAAGGGAGTTGGATAAAAAAAGTTTATTCACTAATTTGCCTCTTTCATTCTTATGCAGTAACTCCCTTAATTTACCTATTGTCTATCTTAGCTAATGTAGCATCTGTATCCTATAAAGATGCTTTTACTATTTTAGAGTTTTATAGTATGAAAACAACAGAAATGCTCAGTGAAATTTAATAAAAAACAAACGAGTCTTTACTTCTTACCAGGGTGTCCTCTGCACTATCTTGCACATGGTGTGCTCATTTCTGCCCAGGTGTCTTTATCTCTTAAACTGGAATTCTAGCTACCTACTGATCATTCTTTTTGCCTATTCTTCTAACTTCCAGTGTTGCCAGTGGAGATCAGTGTTGATTTTCCCAGATCTTGAAGGCTACTAAAGGAACAAGGGAGAACACTCCCTCCTCCAGTCCCACTCAGTCAGGTGCAATCCACATCAAAGGACAGATAACCATTTGTATTTTTCAACCAAAGTTGTTAGTTTCAGTATTTGTAAATGAGCTAAAAGGCTCAAATGACTTAAGGTTCTTCCGTAATCAACTTTCTTTTTCCAGCTAGCAAGCTTCAATTTCATTACAATCATTTTATTAGGTGCATTTAAAATAATCACAATTTTGTTTGCTGTTGTTAACTGAGCATTTGGCCTTGCAAGATATCAACTAAAGAAACCAATTTTGTGATTCTTAGCCCAAAAGACTAAAGACTAAAGCTTTCTTCTGACACCTTTAAATTTTCATAAAGAAAAACAATTCAACCCAGATCTCAAGTGCTACCCAGCATCTTTCCCATACATCATATTAAAATTATCTTTCCAGGCCAGTGTGCATCCCTATAATCCCAGTAGCTAGAGAGGATAAGGCTGGAGTAATCCCAATAGCTGGAGAGGCTAAGGCTGAAGGATTGCAAATTTAAGGCCAGCCTCAAGCTTCAGTAACTTAGCAAAACCCTAAGTGACTTAGTGAGATACTGTCTCAAAATAAAAATAAAAAGGGCTGGGGATGTTGCTCAGTGGTTAAGCACCTTTGGGATGTGTGTGTGTGTGTGTGTGTGCATTCCCTGACTTTTTTTGAACTATCAGGCTGTTGGCAAATTAACTTTATCATAAGACATGTTCATTATATTATTTTAATATAGTAAATTTATTAATCTCTACATTTTTATTAAGCTCTAAAGCAATGAATTGATTTTATCTTTGTTCTTTCAAGTATATTGTCTTCCACTGAATGCCAAAGAGCAAGGAATCTACCAAAGACAATCGGTTTCAGGACAAAATGATAAAGGCAGTAATTTGAAAAGACTTATTGACCATAAATAAGTCAATAGGAGCAATTAAAAATAATAATGATAGCAGTAGATTGAAGCATGCCAAATAATAATAGCAAAAGGCTGAAACACATGAGTTTATAAAGATATTCCAAAAAGAAAGTCATCACTCCATTCTAAGAATATCAATTCATTTATTCTGAAAATTAAGAAATAAAATTAAGGTATTAAAATGTATTGCTTGATTGCATTGTTTAATACATATTTACAGTCTCCATGTGACCAAAATGGATTTGGTCATATTTGTAGTTTAAGGCTTCAGTACATTTTCCTATGATGTGAACTTTGCCTTCTAAGATGATTCTGAAACTAAACTTGTCTAATTTTGTTTTTCAATAATTTTGTATGAATGAAATCATTCAGTATGGTCTTCTGTATTTGGCTTCTATCACCTAGCACTTTTTGTTGTTTATCCATGTAGGACCGTTTGTTTCTTTTTATTGCTCAGTAGTATTCCGTTGTATATGTTTATTACAATTTGCTTAACCATTCATTGGCACTTTTACTGCATTTGTTTAAATGATCATATTTTTCTTTTATTGCATTATTATGGTGAACTACATTGGTTGATCTTAAATTTGTATCCTCAGGCTAAACACTGGTCACATATTATTCTTCAATTGTTGAGTTTGATTTATTAAAATTTTGTTCACTACTATGTTTACAAAGCATATTGGTCTAGAACTTTCTTTTGAGTTTTTTCACTGGTTTTGTTACCAGGGTAAAATTACTCTTATAAAATAAAGTCATAAGTATTTTTGAAATGCCTGTTCAATGCACTGCAGAACTTCGAGAAACATTAAACTATGCACAAAATATGACATGATAGGTGTCATTTAAACATGTATTTCAAATATTTCTAAACTTGTTCATTTTCGCCCTGGTTGTTATTTCCATAGAAATATATTTTATTCATCTTCACACCTAGCTTGAGGTTGGCTGAATTAGTGGGTTACTTGTAATCATGGACTTTAGAAAATATTAGTGGGTAACCTGTAATCATGGACTTTAGAAAATAAGAGCTAAGCAACTTTAGGGATTCCTGTTCCTAGATTCGTAGAGGGGGAAACTGAGATCCTCAAAGATTGCAAGACACTTCTGGAAGTGAGCACCTTCCTAACCTTTACTAGTCTCCATCTTTTCAACATTCATCACAAGCTTTTTGGGGTAAGAAATAAGTAAACTACCTGCTGGGTATATATTTATATTGTCAAGTTAATGCGTCCATCCGTACATTTTTTTTCTTCTATGAAGATGCATACCGTTCTAATTGATACAACCCAAAGAAGCAGTAAAACAATAAAACTCCAGGATTGTGTGGCCCGAAGGCTACTAGTTGAACTGGGCATGCTCAGTCGCCAGGCAGATTTTTCAGTGAAGTGGAAACTACAACAGCGCGTACAGTGCGCGCGGAGGTGGGCGTGCCCTCGTGGAATTTAGAACGTTGCCTCAGCCAATGGGGCCTCGCGGCCGGCTGGGGGAATCTCTCATTGGAGGAACGGGAAGCGAGAGAGTGGAGGGCCTCGGGAGGGAGCCGCTGAGGTGCAGGTCGGAGAGGCCGGGCTACGTTGTGCCCCGCGCGTGAACAGCTGCAGCGGCAGAGGCAGCATCCAACCGTGGTGCCAGCAGATCCAGCCCGTTGCTTTACTTTTTTTGCTGCACCAATATAGTCATTATGCCGAAGAGAAAGGTAAGTCTTACCTAAAAAGATTTTCATAGGCCTTCAGTTGCGCTTACAGCAAATCCTGTCTTTGCCATGGACGCGCCGAATTCGCGCAGTAGTAACTCGGGAATTGGGGATCTCTTTACTGCTCCACACTTGTTTTCAGATGCCTGTTGCAGGCATTACTCTCTCTCTCCTTCTCTCCCTCCTTCTGTCCCCATCGATCTCTGAATGTTACTTTCTCTCCAGCGACGCGGCTTCCCCTCTTTATGAACTCATTCTCACTGGAATGGTTTGCACTTCCAAGTAAGCAGCAAAAGAGATTTCTATTTCCCCTTGTAGGAGGAGAGTTTTCCTCTTTACAAACTCCAGATTGTGATTAGTGTGAAAGAAATCAGCGAGAGGAGGAAAAAAACTACGAGCATTAGGAAATCGAAAATAAATAAATAAAATCGGGCAGATGTTGAGATTGTCCCCGTATGGGCCGTGCCCACTGTGCCGCGGTGGCTCCGAGGCTAAAAGGGAAAGCCATGTTTAAAATAGCGCCCACCCCCTGCTCTCCTCAGCTGCAGACCCGTATGTACCAACTCTGGTGTCAATCAGGGCTGGGGACTGCGCAGGCGGGGCCCCGGCGGCCTGGACCTACTAGTAGTTCGCTGTGAGAGCCGCGGAGTTGGCAGCGTGAAAGATCTGAACGCGCCGCGGACGCCTGGCGTGGCTGGTCCAAGGTCAGGGGCCACCGGGTTGTCCCTGAACTCACACTGGTTCGTTCTAGGGCTCGTCGGTGCACAGAAGGAAGCGGGGTCATTTGAGACTTCCCCGGCTTCTTGAGGACTGTGTGCCCTCAAGCACTGTGTTCTTTTCCGCTCAGGCCTCATACTCCAAGTACCACGCGTGGGGGCACATATTTCCTTCGGGGTCGGGATGCGACTTGACATTGTTCCAGCAAGGGAAAGGAAATCTTTCCCCCTTCCTGGGGAAGCTGGTGTGTGACCCAATGGTTACTAAGAAAATGCTTTGCACCTTCCAACCAAAGTGCCCCAGGGTTTCCAAGAAATCAATAGTGTGACTATTAAACTTGAAGTAAAATTACAAATAATAAACTACCTTATTAATTAAAGACTGTGGACTGGGTGTGGGGGAGGGAAGGAGGGAGGGGGAAAGAGAGAGAGAGAGGGGAGAGAGAGAATGAACTATTTTAAAATACTGGACCTTTTAAAATCCAGAATCTTTTACATTCTTATTTGTTATCACCGAGAATTTGGAGTAAACATGTCTCCTACTCCTCTTTTTTTAAAAAAATAATAATTAAAACAGTTTTAAAAAAAATTCTTAAAGAGTTCCGTGTGAACATACTCTGTGCCTCATGCTTTTGACTTGCATTATCTCATTGAATCTCAGAACTCTTTGAGCAGGTATTAACCTCATTGAACCGTACTTAAGACATAAATTACCCAACCTCTCACCAACCCATAGGTAATAGCAAAGATCGAATCAAATGCTGTAAATCCCACAGTCCTTACACCCGACCATTATTTACTCTTCATTTAGTGATGGGTAGGACAAGAGGAATTTAGGAAATCTAAAGTGACTTCTAACTTAAGAAGATGGATGGTATTTTAAGAATATTAGTATTTAGGACTCATTATTTAAATTTAATTTTTATAAAAGTATTTATTTTTTAGTGCTACTGTACTAAAACGAGTATATTAAACTGATGTTACCATTTTCAGCATTTATCTGAGGGTTAATTATGGGTTTGGACTTTCAGTGGAACCCAGTGAAATAATCAAGAAATGAATTATAAAGTAAATTGGAGCCATCTTGTTCCCTGGGAATTATAACAAATGTTTAGATAAACAGCAGGTTAGATGTGCATCTTTATGTACAATAAACCCAAACTTTGGAACTTTACCTTGTTCAAGAACCAGAGCTGTTAAAACCATCACCCTGACTTTGTGTCACTGCCCACCTCTCTCAAGGAGACCGAAGGGAGCAAAAGAAGAACAGTAGAACAACTGGCTTTGGAAGGCAAGAAAGAACTCCTATGAATGAGCTAACCAGCAGTTCTATGTCTAGGGGCAAATCTGTATACAGGCACCTGTATGTGGTTCTTTAGGACATCTGAAAGTTTTTTAGAGATGGAAAACTCTCCTTTATTAATGGGAAGGGTTTTTTATTTATAACTAGAGCTCAAAAACCTGGGTTGGTACCTGGGCTGAGGTAACCACAGATTAAACTTGGCTGTCAGGGCCATCCCATCTCTATCAGTCAAACCTTAGAGCTCTCCCATGGAATCCTGGAGTTCATGGAACTTACAGTGGCAACCACTGTCAATAGGTAAAGCCTACCTCCATATAAGGGGAAAAAAGAAGAAGAAGGAGAACTGGAGATGATCCGTGCATAGCTCTTGGAGATCTGTACAGTTGATAACTGCCAAAGCATTTACGTACTACTTCACAATATTTTCTTTGCCTGAACAACTGCCGATTCTACATTATAATCAGCTTCAAAAGTGCCCCCATGGCAATACATTTTTGCCATCTTAGTTCCTTATATCTCTTTACCTTGAAATCAAGAAATATTATTTAATGAACTTCTTTCTAAGCTGTCCTGCAGAACAAGAAGTGGTACTAGTAAAGTCAATGAAAAGATCTGGAGTCCTAGTACTATTTTAATGTTGTTAAGGACATGCAGTTTGCTCTCTTGGAGCTTATGTTTAACTTAATGAAGGAATAAGACTAGCAGGCACAAAACTGTTCAACAACATTTAGTCCATGCATATGTTGCAGAATGTTTAGTAAGATTTCAAAGGCTCTACCATAGATAAGAAAACAAAACTGAATTTGGACTGGTCTTGAAAATGTGGATAGGACTCAAATACACAAAGACAAAATCAGAGTCTTTTCCTGTTATCAGGCATTCGAATGCCCCTTCTGATTGTATCTTTATATGACTAGGTCTCAGTTCCACAACTTCTAGGCCATAATATCATCCGCATGTAATATAAAATGGTCTTATTAAATATAAGTTTTATGTGTATATTTGTGGATAATAGTCACAGCAACATTAATACAAAAAAAAATTATGACCACTGTGTTATTTTTTTAAGCAAGATAGCACTTAACAATGTGACCTGTGTCTGAGTTTGTAAGATTTAAGTTGAGTTTCCTGTTTTACTTAATGAGTGATGAATGAGTGAAAGAACAGGGGAAATATAACATTCATGGACTTCAGGGGACTGGCAGTGGGACAGTGAGTAACTGAGTTCTAGGCTATTCTGATCAAACATCCACAAATGTCATGTCATTAAGTGATGATCTGATGTTCTAAAAAGAGGCATGAGCTAGCAAGGCCTAGAATCACAGTTCTGGCATGATTAGCAAGAGCAAACACATTTTCACATCCTTTTTATTTTTCTAGTTCCTCATCCCTACAACTTTTGTGTCTAGTATTCAACATTGTAAATTCTCTACTGAAGCAATTTATGAATTTGTCAGGCAAGCAGTGGTCTCTTTCCATTTAAGGGCTAAAGGAAGAAAAGTCTGTTGACACCTGACTTTGAAATTTTAAGTTGGATTTTTATCTTTTTTTCCAAATGGAGAGGCCCATTAGCATTGCGGTTGGCATAGGGGATGCTTAATTAACAATGCTCAAGATTTCGGATAATCTTTCAATAGAATATCATTTGTTATAATAGCAAAGACAGAAACAATAAATGAAAATATATATAAATATATATATATATATATATATATATATATATATATATATACACACACACACACACACACACACATTTAGCTAGATAAAAATAAATAGTTCAATATAGAAAAAAACCCAAAGTTTTAAATTTTATGAAAAGATGGGAAAAGTATTCATACCGGATATCACTGAAAACGTTTTGCTATTTTAAGAAGGTAAGAGTCTTATGTGTCTTTATGGAAAAGATGGATATCCTTATTGGAAAAATAAACCCAAGTAGATGAAAATGTTTAGTTTTACTAGAAGTCAAAATATGTACATTATTAATAATGATGAGATTTTTTTTAAAAAATCTGGTTAAAAAAGATTGAAAGTATCACAGTCCAGTGCACTCTCAAGGAATGTGGATGAGAGTTAAATTTCCTTTAAATAAATAAATTAAGAACTTATTGAAGATGACCTGCTTACTATAAAGTCCATTCATCCACTGAAAATGTACAATTTGGTGATTTTTAGTAAATTAGAGAGTTGTTCAACCATTCCCTTTATCTGGTTCAATAGCTTTTCCATAACCTCAGAAAAGTTCCTCATATTGTTTGCATCCAATCTCTATTTCCATCTCAACCCCGCACAGTCACTGATATACTTTTTTTCTCTCTAGATTTGCCTTCTCTGGGAATTTTATATAAAAGAAATCACACACCATGTAGTCTTTTGTTTCTGATTTCTTTCACTCTGTATATTGGTTTTGATGTTCATATATGTGGTAGCAGGTATCGATGCTTCATTCTTTTTATTGTCTAATAATATCCCATCTATGGATGTACTACTTTTTGTTTATCTTTTTACAAGTTGATGGACATTGGATTGTTTCAACTTCCAGTTATTATAAATAATTCTGTGATGAATATTTGTGTTTAATTCCATGGATATATATTTTCATTGAAGATTCTGAAAAGTAGAACTGGTAGGTGATGTGAAAAATCTATGTTTAACATTTCAAGAAACTTCCAGACTGTTTTCCAAAGGGCATGAGGATTCCAATTTCTCCACCTCCTTGTTTATACCGGGTATAATCAGGTGTTTTTTGCTCATAGACATTCTAATAAATTCTATTTAATTTCCGTAATAACTAATGATAATGAGCACCTTTTCATATGTTAACTAGCATTATATGTATTTTTTTAAATAAATGTCTGTTCACATAATTTTTGCTCACTTTTAATCTGGGTTGTTTATCTTATTAAAGAATTGTAAGTGTTCTTTATATATTTTATATATAAGTTCTTTATCATATGTACGATTTGTAGATTATTTTCTTT